CATATCAATTCGACTTTTTAAAAATTTCTCTTCTCCATGCAAACCTCTCTAAAACACGTTGGTCATAATGTTAACGGCGCACGTTGTAACTTTCCTGATATCTACCTCTGCTTGTCGCTATGAAGATCTTTAGTGTTACCTTTTTACCTGAAATCTTCCACAATATGGCGTTAAAGTCATATTTATTTATATATTTATTTATTCAATCATATGTTTTCATTACTAAAAAGACACACATTTTTACTGTGAGTAGATTTCGTTTAACTTTATTGCAATACTGTGGAAAATTCCAGGCTTCAGCGTCACCATGGAGACAAGCAGGTGCAGGGACGTCCATCAGAAAAGTTACATAGAGCAGCTTTAAGCCCGTATATTACCGTATGTTGTTGCTATCGGAGGGTTTTGGAGGATTTTATTAATTTGGTGCTTCGTAAACTCAGCCTGGATGAAAAAAACTCTGGATTTATTTTCTTTTAGCTGTATACAGAATGGATGCTGCATGTGCTTCCATAGTCACCACAACACGTAAAGGTCCTATATCATGCATAATTTAATCTTATCAAGCTTAATTAGGACATCCCCTAATTGCTTTTTGTATAATTTAAAGTATGTGTATGGAAAACAGCTAAAGACCAAACTGTTCTTCATTTTCATACAATTTCCACGAGACGAAACGAGACGCGAGACTGAATTAACGAGAACGAGACAAGACGAGATTTTGACATTGTTTATAATCACTGTTGGGCAAGTTACTTCAAACCTGTAATGTGTTATTTATGACTTGTTAGATTGCAGCACTTTAAGTTATTCTCATCAAAATAACTGTGCGAAAATGGACCAGGACTAAACCAGAACTGAACCAGGACTGAATCAGGACTAAACCAGGTCTATACCAGGACTAAACCAGAGCTGAACCAGGATTGAACCAGGTCTAAAACAAGCTCTAAACCAGGCCTGAACCAAGGACTGAACCAGGACTAAACCAAGACTAAACAAAGACTAAACCAGGTCTAAACCAGGTCTAAATCAAGACTAAACCAGGAATGAACAAGGACTAAACCAAGTCTAAACCAGGACTAAGTTAGGACTAAACCAGGACTGAACCAGGTCTATATCAGGACTAAACCAGAGCTGAAGCAGGACTGAACCAGGACTAAACTAGGTCTAAACCAGGGCTGAACCCGGACTGAACCAGGACTAAACCAGGTCTATACCAGGACTAAACCAGAGCTGAACCAGGATTGAACCAGGTCTAAAACAAGCTCTAAACCAGGCCTGAACCAAGGACTGAACCAGGACTAAACCAAGACTAAACAAAGACTAAACCAGGTCTAAACCAGGACTAAGTTAGGACTAAACCAGGACTGAACCAGGTCTATATCAGGACTAAACCAGAGCTGAAGCAGGACTGAACCAGGACTAAACTAGGTCTAAACTAGGTCTAAACCAGGGCTGAACCCGGACTGAACCCGGACTGAACCAGGACTAAACTAGGTCTATATCAGGACTAAACCAGAGCTGAACCAGGATTGAACCAGGTCTAAAACAAGGTCTAAACCAGGCCTGAACCAAGGACTGAACCAGGATTAAACCAGGTCTAAACCAGGTCTAAACCAGGACTAAGTTAGGACTAAACCAGGACTGAACCAGGTCTATACCAGGACTAAACCAGAGCTGAACCAGGATTGAACCAGGTCTAAAACAAGCTCTAAACCAGGCCTGAACCAAGGACTGAAACAGGACTAAACCAAGACTAAACCAGGTCTAAACCAGGTCTAAATCAAGACTAAACCAGGACTGAACAAGGACTAAACCAGGTCTAAACCAGGACTAAGTTAGGACTAAACCAGGACTGAACCAGGTCTATATCAGGACTAAACCAGAGCTGAAGCAGGACTGAACCAGGACTAAACTAGGTCTAAACCAGGGCTGAACCAGGACTAAACTAGGTCTAAACCAGGGCTGAACCCGGACTGAACCCGGACTGAACCAGGACTAAACCAGGTCTATACCAGGACTAAACCAGAGCTGAACCAGGATTGAACCAGGTCTAAAACAAGCTCTAAACCAGGCCTGAACCAAGGACTGAACCAGGACTAAACCAAGACTAAACAAAGACTAAACCAGGTCTAAACCAGGACTAAGTTAGGACTAAACCAGGACTGAACCAGGTCTATATCAGGACTAAACCAGAGCTGAAGCAGGACTGAACCAGGACTAAACTAGGTCTAAACTAGGTCTAAACCAGGGCTGAACCCGGACTGAACCCGGACTGAACCAGGACTAAACTAGGTCTATATCAGGACTAAACCAGAGTTGAAGCAGGACTGAACCAGGACTAAACTAGGTCTAAACCAGGGCTGAACCCGGACTGAACCAGGACTAAACTAGGTCTATATCAGGACTAAACCAGAGTTGAAGCAGGACTGAACCAGGACTAAACTAGGTCTAAACCAGGGCTGAACCCGGACTGAACCCGGACTGAACCAGGACTAAACTAGGTCTATATCAGGACTAAACCAGAGCTGAAGCAGGACTGAACCAGGACTAAACTAGGTCTAAACTAGGTCTAAACCAGGGCTGAACCCGGACTGAACCAGGACTAAACCAGGTCTAAACTAGGTCTAAACCAGGGCTAAACCCGGACTGAACCCAGACTGAACCAGGACTGAACCAGGACCAAACTAGAACTTGGACTAGGAGTTGGAATCTAGGACCGCCCCTGAGAGAACCCTGAGCCCGTGGAGCAGGGAGTCCGCGAAACAAGATCAGGCGTCAGCTGCTCTTCGCCCCCGTGGAGCGTGGAGTTCTGCGTCGGTCCTTTCACCTGCGGCCCCCTGACGGTCTACACGGGCGCACCTCCGGACCCGTCCCAAGATTCAGAACCTTAACGATGGCGTTTCACCCCTGCTATCTCGGTGATTTTAGTTAATTTGTATAAAGAAAAAAACGACAAACCCACCACTCCAATCCAGGTTACAAATGCATTATAACAAAGTTTTTACGAGAAGAAAAATGATAACATAAAAGAAAAAAGCATAATATAGGACCTTTAATATGCAGTCATCCTTCACAGTATACATCTCTTTGTGAGTTTGGACGCCGCTGCTGGGAGTGTTGATGAGACTGCGAAAAGCTCTCCATGTACTTACCCTTCTTTTACCCTTATGCTGTTTTCTTCACAAACAGGTTCCACTTTGAATTGTCCGCGTTTGCCGAAGCGTGTCCGGGCGCTGGAGGTTTTGTTTTGCCTTGTTTATCTCTGGCCCAAAAAACTGCAGGAGAGAATGAGATGTCTGCAGATGCTATTGTTGATTTCTTAAGACATTATATAGTCTGAACAAAGAATAAAGTAGTAGTAGTATTAGTAGTAGAAGTAGTAGTAGTAGTAGTAGTCGTAGTATATAAGTAGAATGTAAAAGTAATGCATTTTAGAGCACTTGGTTTTGTTACACTGCAAAATATGTCTGTGAGTTCAAATGACTTGGGAGAGTAAAGGTGTACCGCGTAACCTTTCTGGCTCTCTGCTTGTCTCCGTGGAGATCTTATTTACTTGCCTGGAATGTTACACAATATGGCATTAAACATGACCAAAGCCGGCGTATATATATATCAAAAAACTTGCAATCTTACTCTGAGCGGGCTCGCCTCTCCACAGATCGGGCCTGTTAATGCCATATTGTGTGACATTGCAGGTTAACACAATAGCGTATCCATGGAGACAAAGTGGGGGACCGTGCACCAGGAAAGTTACTCAGTGCAGCTTTAATGTTGGTTTGAGTAGTTTTGACTCGCTTATATTTATGATGATTTTTTTTTTTTTTTTTCCCAATTATAATTTTCTATCACTTTTTACACATATTTATTAAAGCTGTACTATGTTACTTTTCTGGAAGAGCAGCGTACACTCAGTTGTATTATGGCAGACATGTCAAAATCAGGCCCAGGTGCCAAATTTGGCCCACCATATAATTATATTTGGCCCGCGAGATCAAATCAGATAAACTATAGAGACATTATTTATTAAAAATGTTATTATTTTAATATCTTGCTTGTTATAGATTAAATGTTTAAGCAAAACTATTATTAAACATTTATTTTAATAAGAAGAGATTTAACATTACATATCTCGAAAGAAGAGAAAACATGCAGATGTTGTTGAAATTTTTCAGAAAATATTTAGTTTGGCCCACAACTTAGTGTCCGAGTTTTTAATTTTGGCCTCTGTGAATTTGAGTTTGACACCTCTGTATTATGGCATTAAACTTGTCTTACATTTATTCAATTTCCACTGCAGTACTGGTGAAAAATAATAATAAATACAATAAATGGAGAGCCTCTCGCCACAGATCTGCCATGTAATCCCCCTCGGTGCCATCGCCTGCTTATCTCCATGGAGATATTAAAGTTTAATGCCACTGTGGATCATTCCAGGCGAAGCAAAATGTCTTTATGGAAACAAGCAGGTTGTGTCCACCACCAGAAAAGTAACATAGTGCAGCTTTAAGTTAAAATGTTTTAAATAAGTCTGAAATATTGTGAAGCAGGTCAGATTGTTTATGTCTTGTCTGTGCATTAATTTACTGCAGAATGTCTTATGTTTAAATGAGTTTCAAGTTGAAATAATTTAGATTCATTTACTTTATTTTTACTATTATTTTTATTATTTCAACACATTTCTAACTTGTTTCAATACATTACTCGTTACTTATGTGTATTGAAAGAACTTAGAAATTGCATTAATACAGTTTTCATTTGTAAATCATCTAAACAAGTCAAAACTCGAGACTCAAATCACGTTAACTCTTCTGACACGTTCATTTCAACTCGTGCAGATACTATTTTTGCAGTGTAATGCTCAAAATTACTCAATCTACTCTCTGCATTTAAGTTGTTTGAACTCAATATACTTATTTTGTAGTGAACCGCTGCTTATACCACTGTTCCCATGGCGACGTGGTGATCTGAATAACTATGAGAGGCTCTGTCCCCAGCAGCAGATCAAGATGGCGGAGATCGAGCAGGCCTCGCTCAAGTCGGAGCAGCTGTCGGACAAGTCTTCTTCCCCCCCTCTGGCCGATGAGCTGAGCCTGGACGGGACCACGGCGGACCCCCTCATCTCCTCACATGTGCAGGTGAGAGGACGGGGGACAGGGGATATGTGGAGGCCGACTGATCTGAGTACATCCTAGAGACATTTGACAGTCAAACAAAGCGGTAAACATTTATTTTATTTTATTACTTTTCCACCTTCAAGGCCGTTATGTCCCCTATATCCAACAAGGGACACAATTGTTATAAAACAGGAAAAAATTAGATTATACCGTTATGAAATTCACCAAAATGTATACAAAAAAAAAAAAACAAAAGGTTGGTGGGAGGAGGAGTGTGCCAGTTGTGCCAAATAAAAGAAACGAAAATATAACTAAGTGAAAACTAGGTGACAAAAGTAAAGAAATCAAAATGCCTAGAACTATCTGATCCAAAAAAGAGAACTTGGATACTTCAAAACAACAAGGGTAACAACAACCGATAAAACTAGTGTGTCCAGGGTTGGGAGTAACGCGTTATTAAAGTAACAAATTACTGTAATGCATTGCTTTTTCTTCATACAAATTCGCTAAAATTACAGCGATATCAGCAGCGATGAAACGCCAGAGACGCGCCCGTCTACTCGAGTGAAATCCGATCGCGCCTTGCAGACACCCTGTTCCACGGGCTCGGGGTTCTCTCAGGGGCGGTCCTAGATTCCAAGTTCTAGTCCAAGATTAGTCCTGGTTTGGTCCTGGTTTAGACCTTGTTTAGTCCTGGTTTAGACCTGGTTTAGACCTGGTTCAGTCCTGGTTCAGCTCTGGTTTAGTCCTGGTTTAGACCTAGTTTAGTCCTGGTTCAGTTCTGGTTTAGTCCTGGTTCAGTCCGGGTTCAGCTCTGGTTCAGTTTTGCTTTAGTCCAGGTTTAGTCCTTGTTTAGTTCTGGTTCAGTCCTGGTTTAATCCTGGTTCAGTCCACATACGGCACAAACGTTCAGCATCTTCACAGTTATTTTGGTGAAAGTAAGTTAAAGTGCTGGAATAGTCGTGTAATATTTTACATTTTAAACACAGTAATATTGTAATGTAACAAATTACTTTGAAATGACAGTAACAAGTCATAAATAACACATTACAGTTTTAAAGTAACTTACCCAACTGTGAGTGTGTCTAACAAAGAAAAACTACGTGGTGCAAGGTGTATAGGGATCCCACTTACCTAAACCAACCTCCCAACCAAACAACACCTGACTAGCAGAGGTAGCACACAAGAGAACAGCAGCACACAGACCTTTTTAAATTGTCCTCACCAACCTGATTGGCTGCTAGGTGGCCAATCAGAGTCAGGTCCCGCCCACAGCGCCTGAACAGACAGGGCAGAGGAGACAGCGGTACACAAAACACACACAAATGTTTGCATGTAACAAAGGCTCAAAGCGCTTTACAACAAGGAACCACTCATCCATTCACTCACACATTCATACACCAGTGCACACAGGCACTGGGGGCAAGGTGGGTTAAGTGTCTTGCCCAAGGACACAACAACAGCATTCATCTGTGGGTGCTGGATTCACACCAGCTCAACATTTGGGTCAGTGGATCTAACCACTCAACCAATGATGTTTATGTTAAGTGTGGGATTCAAACAACCAACGTTCACATCAGTGGGCAAACGCTCTACCAACCGAGCTACTGCCGCCCTCATTACTTTAATATTCACTTAAAATAGAACAGGAGACTTTTAATTTATTATTTATTTTTTTTAATAGCCTAAATGCGTTTTTTAAAATCACTGCCAGAAGTGAAACAAACTAGTCACTCAGACCAACAATCAGATGCCAGTTGGCCTCTCCAGTCATGACAGGACAGAGCCGGGCCCAGCGCTGAGCACACAGCTCACCTGGAGGCGGAACTAAGCCAATACAGAAGTGCTGGTGTCTGCCTGTCAATCAACTGCAAAGGGACAATCTGATTGGACAGTTTTAACCTGCAGCTTGCAGACAGAAGACCCAAGGAAAGAGAGGGCATTTCTGAACTAGGGATGGGCAGGATTAGTTGATTAATCGATAATTAATCATTAAGAATTTCGTCGATTACGTTAATTTTTAATTGACAAACTGAATGTAGGTTGCTGTGCGTAGCAGCTATAGGGTGACCAAACGTCCGTTTTCCACGTCCTGTCCTGGTCGTCCGGGTTTTTTTTTTTTTTTATAAAGTGATGCAACCTTTCATTGGGCCATTAAATTGAGCAACTCTCATAGCTCTCTGCACTCAGAAGGAGCAAGCAGACACAGTCGGTCAGCCTGCAACATGCCAAAGCGCAAATGCACTTTTAACGATGATTTGTACAAGAAATTTCCATCCCGTTCGAGAGAAGTGTGAGGCCATGTGCACAGTGTACAAAGCAGGCACATATGTTTTAGTATTCAGTGGTGGTGTCAGGGACCTCGAAGCACCAGGACACTGAAAAACATGAAAAAGCTTTGCCAGGTGAGAGTAGCTCAATGTCGATGTCCTGGTTTTGACAAACGCAACCCTAACCTATAATCCACTGAGTCGTGTCCTTTAGTCCAACAGAAGCTGAACCACATCAGCGCACAAGAGCTGTTTTTTTTCTTCACTTAGTTTATGCAAATGAGCCATGCGGTTTTAAGTTTTGTTTCTGTGAGAGTTGCGTAAACCTGCATTAAACACATTATAATGTCAAACGGGCTGATGTGACTCTAGAGTGATTACGGTTTGTATGTCGTAAAGTTGAATTTATTTATGCAGATTAGTAGTGCAGATAGTAATAATAATGGTGATCATTTTAATATAAAAATGTTAATGATTAATCGATAATCGATCGTTAATTCTCCCAACGATCGATTAAGAAAGTTTAATCGAATGCCCATCCCTATTCTGAACATGTTACCACCAAAACAACACCACATCTGACACTGTAGTAAACATGACTTCTTCATATATAGATTATACTGTTTGTGAAAGAAGTGTAGATATAAAAATCTAAAACTTGATGATAAAATACTTTGCTATTATACAATAAACTAGTTAGTGTAATATCACTATAGCCAGCAGAGAAAGTCCTGTTGGCTCTGAGGAGACAAGTAAGACTAAGCGATTGGAGTTACACATTTTGAGGTCCCCTAGTGGCAGGTGGGGCTTTCTACTGTTGCACATTTTGCTGATGCCATGTTCTTTCTAGATACATAAAAGAACAGTCCCATTAGGTTCCTCAAACCAAAGACTTCAAAATAGCGTTTGGGGCTTACATGACTTTGAGTATAATCCTTGAATCCTCTCCACTGCTTTATCTTGTCCTGGTGGATATCTGCGGTAAATATCATGTGTTTGAAAAGCCTCTTCAGACCTCATGAATAAATCTGGTGTGCGCTCGTGATATTTAAACTCCTTTACGCTCCCTCGCGCTTCTACCTTTTTTCTTCTCCTTTATGGACTCTCTCTGTTTCTCTTTTACCCCCTCAGGAAACTGAACTGTCCTTAAACATCCCTTTGGCTCCCTTTTTTTCTCTCCGTCCTTCTCTTCTCATTCCTTTTTTCTTCCTCGCCCTCCTCCTCTCACTCACTCTCACTCACTCTTTCCTTTACATATCCTCTCCTTTGCTCACACACTCGCCTCCTGTCTCTCCTATCTTCTCTTTCTTTCTTTTACCGTTTCTCTTCCCCTCTCTCTCCTCTACCTATTCTCTCCCTCTTATCTCTCGCCTTCTTTCTCTCCTCTTCTCTCTTTCTCCCTCTTTCCACCCTCTACCGTCAGCAACAAGAATTAACATTTAGAAAGTAAACAGTGGAGGTCCTTTTCCTCTGTGAATGCGACGCTAATCGGGCCATGTGTTTGTTGATCACATCACAAATTTGGTGATGCTTTGTGCTGCGTAGGAGGAGTTTTGTCTATGACGGAACAAAACTGGCCATATGTCAACATTTCTGCATATAAGCGCTTGTGAGTGTGTCGTGAAAGAAGCGATGTATCTCTGAGACGCTACTGCTTTGTACACCAAATGTGACAGAAGACCTTCCAGAGGAAATACCGTATTTTCCGCACTATAGGGCGCACTTAAAAGCCTTTAATTTCATCAAAAAACGACTGTGTGTGGTTTTCGGATGTCTTAGTACGACTTTAGTAAACTACAAAGCCGCACCACTTGCAGCATTACGGCTACTGTAGTCAGGAGCATCGCTGAGTTATTTATTTATTTATTTTATTTGAGACAGGGACAGCGCACAATTTTTACATTAACCTTAACAGGAGAGATGCATTGTACCCGGTTGTAGCATCAGTGCAAATTTCCACCTGTAGTCCCTGGGCAGGTTCGTTGATTGATTGTGTTTAACTGACCTTGACTATCAACTGCTCTTCCTGGAGACTTATGTAGCATGTTTTGGGTTGATTAATACAAACTGTGATTCCTTTTAATATCAAAATGCACCTGTCAAGAGACACGCTTACAATGCAAACTTTAAACTCAAGGCTGTTATAAAGTTAAAGTGCGAGCTGCGTGGGAGCAGTGGATGAGAGAAGAAGAAACACGCATTCACCAAGACAGAGAGACAGCGCCAAGCGATCGTGGACGGCCGGGCATATTTGATTTTTATTGTAAAAAGAACGAGCCACGAGTGTGTTCAGCTGTTATATCTGCCAAAGGTGGACACTTTCATGAATCAAAAGTTTAGAATACGTTTCGGTCAACAGTAGGGATGGGCATTTGATGAAATTTTCTTAATTGATTGTCGGAAGAATTAACGATCGATTATCTATTAATCATTAACGTTTTTTTATATTTAAATGATCATCATTATTATTATTATCTGCACTATTAATCTGCATAAATAAGCATAAATAAATTCAACTTTACAACATATAAACCGTAACAACTCTTGCCCTTTTGAGATTATAATGTGTTTAATTCAGTTTTGTGCAACTCTCACAGAAACGAAACTTAAAACCGCATCGCTAATTTGCATAAACTAAGCAAAGATAAAAACTACAGCTCTTGTGTAACTGATGCGGTTCAATTTCTGTTGGAATAAAAGACATGACTCAGTTGAATACAGGTTAGTGTGACCATATTTGCGTTTGTCAAAACCAGGACACCGTACGGGGGGAGGGAGGTGGGACTCGTCATCGACATTGAGCTACTCTCACCTGGCAAAGCTTTTTCCCACTGGACACCGAAACATATGTGCACATGGCCTCACACTTGTCCCGACCAGAACAAAAAGCGAAAGAAAGAATTTCTTGTACAAGTCATCGTTAAATACGCATTTGTGCTTCACTACATTGCAGACTGACCGACTGCTTGCTCCTTCTGAGTATAGAGAGACACATGTACAGACCCCTGTTTGGTCACCCTACGCTACGCACAGGAACCTACATTCGGTTTGTCGATTAAAATGAACGTAATCGATGAAATTCTTAATGATCAATTATCGATTAATCGACTAATCATGCCCATCCCTAGTCAACAGTAAACAGTAAAAATCTGGAAAAAGTGTGGTGTTCTAAAACTTTTGACGAGTGCATTGAGTAATAATACGTTTAATGCAGCTTTGAGCGCATTTGTTTACATTTTACAGAAACAAAACTTAAAACCACATGGCTAATTTTCAGCTCACTCCTTGTGCGTTGACGTGGTTCAGCTTCTTTCGGACTAAAGGACACGACTCAGTGGAATATGAGTGTTCTTTCTGTGACAGAGGGGTGTTCTGCTGATGGTGATTCTGTTCTTTGCTTCAGTCGTGTTGGAGATGGTTCATGTGAAACTTTTCAGAGATTATACGTCTGCAGGTCGTACACACAGACCGTATATATGAATGGACATATATTTTCCGTAGCATTTCATTGATGTCATAAATGCCAATGCAGAACTACATTTTGCCCTTTACTCCGTGAGGCTCCTGACTACGATAACAGTAATGCTCCTACAATCCATCAAGCTCAGTAGCTCACCAAAGTCGTACTAAAACATTCTGACAGACTTTTGAGCGCCGTGTACCGCATAAAATGGGTTCGAGGTCATTAAGCACAACCAGAATTAATACATAAGGTGCACCAGATTATAAGGCGCACTGTCGATTTTTGAGAAAATTAAAGGATTTTAAGTTCGCCTTATAGTTTGAAAAATACAATACTACTAAAAGCATTATAACATGGTAAAAAGCCTCAAAAAAGTAAAAATTTGTGTGTTCTCTCTATCTCTTCTCAGTTTTTCTTTCTCCTTCATGACCCTCCATTACTCTCCACAGTTTTTCCTCATCTATCTTCCTCCTCTCTTCTTTGCCCTCTCTCCCTCCCTCTCTTCTTATCATCTGCTCTATAGCCTGACATATCCCGGCTGTATTGGGGGCAGGACTCCTTGGTTCTGGGCAGTCCGATAAGCCCTGTGCAGTGGGCAGGCTTGGCTCATTAGATGAACGAGGGAGGACAGAGAGGGACGGAGAGAGAGAGGGATGAAGAAGAGGAGGAGAGGGGGTTGGAGGGATACAAGGTCACGCTTTGGATTTGTCGGCCATTGTTCTGAGTAAAAAGGATAAGAGCGTTTGGCAATTTGGACACGGAGCAGAAGGACAAGAATGCAACAAGTTAAAGGGACAACATTTGTACAGTAATGGAATGAATATACTCTCAAAAGAACACTCATCAAAATAAACAAATAAAACTAATAATACAGAACTATTATCAGATTAAATTAGTGCAATCCATTTGAAATATAAACTCATTTTATGTAAGTTTCCTGGCAGAGTGTCTGGCCTCTGCTCGCCTCCAGATGTTATAACTTTGTCTTCTTTGTCTTTCTCTTTAGGGCTGCTTGAGTGTGAGTGGCTCCCCCAGCTCGGAGGAGGCCGGAGGGGGGAGGGTCCAGCAGGCTCAGGCCCTGGTCCAGACTCAGGCCCAGGGTTCAGGACTGTGCTCTGAGACAGACACAGAGCTCCAGGAGGCAGAGGCTCAGACTAATGAAGGAGTGACAAACTCGCCCCACAGCAGCCCTGGTGAGAGGAGCTCTGCAGACACTGCACTCACTTTAGATACAGATACTTTTATATTCTTCTGTTCACCTGCAGGACGAGTCTCCAGTTCCAGTAACAAAGACAGGAGCAGTGAGGGAGGGGCCAGTGGGTTCTGGCCTCTCCTTCACCTCCCCACAGAGTTCTTCCACCCCACGGCTCCTCCTGGGCCCCCGCGCAGCTGCAGCCTCAGGCTGACCAGGGGCCTCCGGCTCACGTCCCCGCGCTCCTGGGCCTCTCTGCGCTCTCCAGGGGCCCGTACCAAGAAGCTCAGCACACAGGTATCACAGAGAGGATTACACAGCATTCTTGAAATGTTCTAGTGCTAACTTACGTCCTCATGTGTTCTCAGTTCCCGTCCCACAGCGACTCGTCTCTGGCCACGGGCAGCTCAGAGGGAAGCCTGCAGACCACTCTGGAGGAGGGGCTGAGCTTCAGTGTGTCTCCTCCACAGGTCCCTGAGTGTCCCCTGCCCTCAGCGGCTCTGCCTCTGGTCTGCCCTGTCCCTGTGCTCAGAGACAGCTGTGTCCTGTCCTCTCCTGTGCAGAGTCTAAGACCCCGGCCCACCCCCTCCTCTGCCCTCACCCTCCAGGCCATCAGGGGGCACCAGCGCAGCCAGAGCAGCGGCCGGGGCAGCACCAGCCCTGGGTACACGCGGGAGGACTCCATGGATCCTTCAGACGAGGACTTGGGCATCGTACTGGGGCCGTCCAGTCAGGCAGGCAACAGTGAGCACCTGTCAGAGGCCCTCAGCAGCCTGTCCCTCACCTCCCTCCTGGCTCCCAGCTCTCTGCTGTACCCTGCAGGAGGGGTGAAGAAGTGCAACAGCACGGGCAGCCTAGACCCTGGGGCCCTGCTGTCCCACAGCAGAGAAGAGCACAGGGACATTTTGGGCCCCTGGACAGACACTCCCAGAGCAGACAGGGGCAAGAGCTCCAGTCAGAGCACTGTGGGGCCCTGTCGCAAAGACAGATGAAACCTACTCTCTCCTCTGTGTCTCCACATTCCCTGGATCTAAACCACGGCTGTCCCCGGTGAGAGGGGCTGCTCCTGTGTGCTGTCCTCTAACCCTGTCCCCGTCCTGTCTCACGTGTCCTCCATGAGGGACTGCTCTGGGTGTAGTGTGCCGGAGTGTGACGTAAGGCTCTGAGGAGGCGACCAGGGTGAGGGACAGCTCTGAGACTACACACTGACGTGGGATTACAAAACCTGTGTTTGGCTGTGTTTTTCTGAAGCTTGGGTTCATCCAGGTCAGAGACGCAGCTGGACAGTGGAACCTTGTCCATGCCAATACACATAGTTTAGATCCCTGTGTTGGAGGAAGTGTTGTGAACACTCATTTTGAAGACGGGGGCTGTTTTCTTCTGGGGCCCTTCTTTCCTCGTCATAAATTACATATTTCTCCATCGACTTGTCTGATTTTGGATATAGTTCATTGGTTTGGATCGGCAGTGGATACAGATAGATTTGCATGGACTTTTTTTTTTTCAATCCTATCATGTATCGTGGCTGGAATTACAAAAACCAAAACACATTTCCCTGCATCAGATTCCGGACAAACTGGATTACAACAAAAGCTACCCGAGGAACTGCATGACGGAATTGCGTGTAACTTTTTACCTTTGTGCAATGTCGGTGTTGAGTGGCGATGGTGTGATTTCTATACAACTATTTTTGTAGAGAAGAACATTTAGGCGAGTGCAGCCATTGCGTGCCCCCATCTACCGGACTTGTTGTCTAAGACTTTTTTTTTCTTTTGTTTCGACAGTGGCTTCCAGTTTTCTAATATTTTATAACACCCGTGGACAATGTATAAAACGACCAAGCAAAAAATCTAAAACTCTCGATGCGCTGATGGTTGTCTCCCTCCAGCACATTTCTTACGGGGAGTTTTCGGAGATGGTTGGGCCCAAACGAACTCAGCCATAGCCACTCAGCGCATGGGAGGAGACTTTGCTTTTAGCTTTGTAGTAAAAAGAAACAAAAAAATCATCTCTATCAAAGCTTTATTTTGAAAATCTACAGCACAACATTTCGGACACGTCGGTGTTCCTTTAGCATGGTACTGGGATTGCAATACGGTATGCTAACTCTTGAAACGAGCTCATAATGCATTCATAAGTACATTGTAGCAACATCTTTGTTTAATATCTGCACTGTATGGAAGAGCAGCACGTCATCTCCCAATGCAAAGTTTTATTTTGGAGTTTTTTTGTTGTTTTTTTTCCCAAATATGAGATGTTGTCAATGCCTGTGTTCTTAGAGCTAGTCTGTTCTATCCCTTGTGTTTTGAGCATTATCTTTGCTTCTGTCATAAAGGAGGAGGCGAAGGGCTGCACGATATGGACTTTGAGAGTGTACTGAAAAGCATTTTACCACTATTCCAATTTATTACAAAGTGCTACGCTGTAAGGTGAGTTCATTTGAAACTTATAATCAAATTTAAAACTTCAATTCACCCTTAAAGAAAAAGAAAAAAGCTTGATTGAATGGAAGACGGCTGAGACTTGGAATAGGATTGGACTTGAGACTTAGGAGAAGTAGGATTCAGTCTCGATTTGGACTTGAGACTTTGGAGGAGTAGGATTTAGACGCGATTTGAACTTGAGATTTAAGAGAAATAGGAATTAGGCTCAATTTGAACTTGAAACTTAGGAGAAGTAGGATTCAGACTCGATTTGGACTTGAGACTTTGGATTCAGACTCGATTTGGACTTGAGACATAGGAGGAGTAAGATTTAGATTCGATTTGGACTTGAGACTTAGGAGGAGTAGGATTTAAATTCGATTTGGACTTGAGACTTAGGATTCAGACTCGATTTGGACTTCAGACTTCAGAGGAGTAGGATTTAGACTCGGTTTGGACTCGAGACTTAGGAGGAGTAGGATTTAAATTCGATTTGGACTTGAGACTTAGGATTCAGACTCGATTTGGACTTGAGATTTCAGAGGAGTAAGATTCAGATTCGATTTGGACTTGAGACTTAGTAGGAGTAGGATTCAGACTCGATTTGGACTTGAGACTTAGTAGGAGTAGGATTCAGACTCGATTTGGACTTGAGACTTAGGAGGAGTAGGATTCAGACTCGATTTGGACTTGAGACTTAGGAGGAGTAGGATTTAAATTTGATTTGGACTTGAGACTTAGGATTCAGACTCGATTTGGACTTCAGACTTCAGAGGAGTAGGATTTAGAGTCGGTTTGGACTCGAGACTTAGGAAGAGTAGGATTCAGACCCGATTTGGACTCGAGACTTAGGAGGAGTAGGATTCAGACTCGATTTGGACTTGAGATTTCAGAGGAGTAAGATTCAGATTCGATTTGGACTTGAGACTTAGGAGGAGTAGGATTCAGACTCGATTTGGACTTGAGACTTCAGAGGAGTAGGATTCAGACTCGATTTGGACTTGAGACTTAGTAGGAGTAGGATTCAGACTCGATTTGGACTTGAGACTTGGGAGGAGTATAATTCAGACTCGATTTGGACTTGAGACTTGGGAGGAGTATAATTCAGACTCGATTTGGACTTGACTTGGACACTGAAGACCAGATCTCGGACTTACACATTCATATATTGCAGTGTCTCCCAAAGACTGGGTCCCACAGAGATTTTTTTGGGGTCATCTTGTCACGATCTGCATGTAGGTCTGCAAAATACAGAGCTACATTGAAAGTCCAAATAGGCGACTTATTGAACCTTTTATTGCTGGTTCAATTTACTGCTTTTCATGGTTTAAAAGTTGAGTAATACTAAATGTTTAGAGAGACACGATCACTCAGTCAACAATAAACTATCCCCATTAATGTTCAATAATAGTCAAATCCACCTTTATTTTGTGATTTACAAAAAATGTCTCTTGACTTGGGTTGTGAAGGTTTGTGACTTTTTTGACTCAAATATGGGTCCCCAGAAAAAAAGTTTGGAAAACACTGATATATTGAACTTAACCATTGATAAATCAGACTTCAATTCAGACATGAACTCAAGTCTGATCTTCGAAGACTGAACTGTAAAATTATTAAACTAAACTTAAGCAATTTTTGTTTTGATCAGACAAAAGTAATAATAATTCAATCACAATAATTCACAACAAACATGAAACAAACAAACATAAAAACGTGAGGAACACAATTCAGTTCTTCATGTTTCATATGAAAATTAACAATAAACTTGAATTAAACTGAACAGAATAAAAAGCGCATTATGATATAAATCGAATACAGTATTATAATAATCAGATTATAAACAGTTAAATATAAATACTTAGTTACCCATTAATGTGATAAAGATACCAGTGAGTTTTGTTTTAATAATTAACAGTTAATTTTAAAAATGTATTGCTTTTCACACTGCAATCATATTTTATTGATTTTATTTGCTTGCACTGTGAAAAGCAATAGATTTCTTGCCAGATTTCTATAAAAATATCAGTATTTTGGTCACTAGTGAAAGCTCTCTGAACTGAATCAAGGACGTTCTGCACATTTAAACCCAGTGTAGACTTAGACTTGGACTTGGACTTGTGTTTGGCGCAGACTGATGCGAGGTTGTCAGAAAGTCAAGTCATTACTATAAATACTAGGGGTGTAACGATATCCAAGTCTCACGATACGATATCGTCACGGTATGAACCTCACGGTACGATATTTATTGCGATATTGTGGGAAAGCTCACGTTTAGGGATGTAACAATATCCAAATCTGTCAGTACGATATTTTCACAATATACATCTCACGGTACGATATTTATTGCGATATTTTGTGGAGGCTAAACAGCTAAACAAGACTTCAGAACAAAGAACTAAGACTTAGAAGTGTTATTTCTTCTTGTAGTCTGCACTGAAATGGAGCAAAGGATCATGGTCTATGTAGTTCCCTGTGTTTTTTTGAGCTATTGCTGCACCATAACTCTTAATTTAAGCAAAGAGACGGTCCACGATATTACCGTGAGAACTTTGACGATATGATATCACGATATTTCGGTTATTGTTGCATCCTTAATAAATATCTAATCTGAGCAGGGATCAGTTAAAAAAATAAAGGGGACATATCACGCAAAATGTACTTTTTTAAAGCTTTTCGTTAGTCGTTGTTCATACCTGGAGTCGTGCTTTGGTTCATTCAAGCTCGTTTCATTTACGCCTGTTCACAAAGTCACTTGCGCCGAACCTCAGAAGTCACTCTGTTTCAATTTTCCCAGATTGTTACATCGCAGGTAGAAGATCTCCATATTTTTCAGCCGTCAAACTGCTTTTTATACAACTGCATGCTTACGTTAGCATGCTGATCACTATACTTAAATGGTTAGTTAGACTTTATTTTAAGTTCTGTAACATGAAACGCCAAAGCAACGGTACGAAGAAGCGTGTTTAAAGGCCAAAAACAGTACAAATCACGCGTAGTATGTCCTCTTTAATATCAGAATCTTGTTTTTTTTACTTTCGTCAGACCACTTTACTTGGACTTTTGCATCGAAGACTTTGCTCACAACTCGGACTTGAACAACTAAGCCTCAAAAATCACAACTTCGCTACAACAATTCTTTTTCCATAACTCCACTAACATTACAAAACCAACTTCCCCGTATATCGTGCAGCCCGTGAAGGCGCCAGATACCGAGAGGCGGCCGTTTTTGAACCATGCAACATTCTTCCTCCTGTTTTGTCTGGCTGGTGGGCAGGTCTGGCTGTGTGTATGTTTTTGTACGCTCTTCGGGGCCTTCTCCTGAGGGCCCCGCGTGTCCCTGTGAGGAGTCTATACGGAGAAACAAGAAGTAATAAGGGCTGTTTTAGCAAAGATATCGTGCGTATCTTTTTGAGAAACGACAAATCCCTGTGTCAATGAATATGGCATCAAAGGTTAAAGCCTGACTACACAGCAATAAATGTTCCATGTGTATGCCCTGCCAAACTAATGTGTGTGTGTGTGTTTATTTCAATATTACGATGATTTTGTTGATTTAAACAGTCACATTT